TGTATAATCTGAAAGTTTTAATATGAATTCAACAGGCAGCAACCTGTTGCTAAAAACCGAGCAGACAGCAGGTGGCAGCAGCTACTGCCCAGGAATCACACACACACACACACACACACACACACACACTCTCTCTCTAACAAAAAAAAAAAAAAATTAATGAAATTAAATAAAAAAAATAAAAAAAATATCAATGTACATATATGTGTGTGTATATGTACAGAATCCGAATCAGAAATGTTTTAATAATCCCAGAGGGAAGTTATTTATTATATCATTATTATATCAGTATTTACATTTGTGCGTATATGTCTGTGTATATAAAATCAGAACACACACAGGAGCTTGTTTTACATTTATTTGGCTCTATAAGTAAACCTGAAGGGTTGTTGATAATTCTTTATTTCAAATCTGGAAATCCTGGAACCTCAGTGAGCCGAGCAGGTCAATGCCTGGCCGTGATTGGTGGAGAGCCCAGTGACGTCACTGGCGCATTCAGCTCCGTTTGGGATGGGGAAAGTTTGTTAGTGTTGATGAGAAGCTGCTGTCCGGCCCGGAGCCACCGTCACCCCCACGGACCCACGGACCCACGGACCCGCAGACCCACGGACCCCCGGACCCATGCGCCCGCGCGCGCCCCCTCCTGCGCGTGTGTTCAGGTAGGCGCTGCTGTGCGTCAGAACGGAGCCTCCAAAAGGGCTGGAAACATCCACTCTCTGCTTCTCCTTCTTTACTGGAGAGAAGCAGATCAGTTCAGATCGTCCCAGAACCCGCAGCGTGCGCGAGGAGCGTGCGTGTCCAGGGAGTTGTCTGCACCACTTTGTCCTCATCCACGGTGTCCGGTCCCCTCTGACCTGTTCGCGTGTTCGCGTGGGCAGGAGCAGGTTTTCTCCCGGACCTGGCGCAGATCTGTGGGCTGACCGGGTCCTCTGGGACCGGTCGGTTGGTGTTAGAACAGAGGACAGAGATCCGACTTTTAACCGGTTAGATAGGATCTCTGCCCCCCCTTTTTAGGGTCAGATTGGGGGTGAACTCTGTTGGTGTGGATTCAGGTCCAGGTCCTGGTCCAGGTCCAGGTCCAGGTCCAGGTCCTGGTCCAGGTCCAGGTCCATTAGACCTAAGAGTCTCAGGGAAAAAGGCTGGACTCTTGGGTTGTAAGAGGTTCCTGCTCTTCCTAAAGGCTGGTTCAGGTTTAACCTACATGGGGGGGGGGGGCTCTCCTGAAGGTCTTCAGTCTGAATGGAGTTCAGAACCCAGTCCAGGGTGACTGGGGTCCTCCTAAAGTCCAGAATGTGGACAGTACATTGTGTAATTACAACTGAAGAAGCAGT